TATGATTACAAATTGAAAAAGGGATACTTGGTTGTTTATCACATAAACAATATGAATCACAACCTTTAAACTGAGGTTTTTTTGACATGATTGGACTGAAAATCATTTTTTTCTAGATAAAGTGTACCATTTGGATGCAGGTTTAGACTACTAATCTTTGCTGCAAAATTTCAGATCATTCGCGCTCTTTCGTCTTTTTTTTCAGAATTAATTATCCCCAATTGTAAAAAAAAATGACAAATAAAAAACGTTTAAGCTTTTCACTCAAATCGAGCTAAGAAAAGCATAAAAATATGATTTTCAATTTGTTTCTAAGTATATTTCTTAACTGTCTTTGCATATATTTCTGTTTAAAGTGCCCCAGCTCATTCATGTGTTATGTTTTTAGGCTATTAAACCTCGGTGGAGTCCCTTTAATTGACAATTTAGGTCCTTGATATTATTTCCCTTTTTCATTTTTTTTAATTTGTTTATTTTTACTTTTTAAATTTGTCCGGAACAAAACTCGGAAACCATAAGAGATATCAACAAGAAACTTTGTAAGTTGATAGATAACAGTGATTAGAAGTGCAGTGCAAAGAACAGTAACTCTGCCTTTCCTAATTTTGGAATTATTGCACTTTGAACTTTTTCCAGGAACATAACTCTGAAACTACAAGAGGTGTACTTTCCTGTGTCCAGAACCTATTTGGGGAGCATCACCCGGCTCAAACCGGGCTATTGTTTTTAATGTATTATAAACACTTCATTATCAATTAATGGTCAAACACCATTATAATAGCCATTATGTTAAATATATTACTAACTCAACTCAAATTGTGAAAAATGAACATAATGCCACTGTAATATGTTATATCTGAAATAATAATAGATTTAAATTTCTAGACAATCCATTCATTATTATATTCAGTAAAAATAGATTTTTACACATTTGCTCATACAGTCTTTATTAAGTGACAGATATATTTAATATTTGGTAGGAAGATAACTTGCATGGTATTCATGCTTTTGATTGGGGTAGGGATCAGTGGGTCAAGGTCACTTGTGTTAAAAATAGATTTTTACACTTTTGTCCATACAGCTTTTATTTATTGACAGATGTATTTCATATTTGGTAGGAAGATAACTTGCATGGTATTCTTCCTTTTGATGGAGTAAGGGGTCAGTTGGGTCAAGGTCACCAGTGTTAAAAATAGATTTTTACACTTTTGCCCATACAACCTTTATTTTATTGACAGATGTATTTCATATTTGGTAGGAAGATAACTTGCATTGTATTCTTTCTTTTGGATAGAGTTAGGGGTCAGTTTTTGGTTAAGGTCACCAGTGCTCCAAATAGATTTTTACACTCTTTGCCCATACAGCCTTTATTCATGACAGATGTATTTCATATTTGGTAGGAAGATAACTTGCACGAAGTTGAATTTTTTTCAAACTTCACAAGTCAGAGCAATGACTTGGCAACTTATATTTTTTCACAATTACAAAATGCCATGACTTTGTCAAGCTATATAACTTGTGTTTACAATTTTTTGGCAATTTTTCTGTCCATTACTGAGTGAATGGGTAAACATTTTTTGAAATATTGCTACTGACAAGAATCTGAGCTGGGGGCATTTGTGTTTAACAAACACGTTCATGTTTTTTCTAGAAATTATTATATTTTACTCGAACTTCTTCATTTCTTACAGCATTCAGGGTTCGAATTTAGCAATATTTATTACAAAGTTTCAACCTTACTAACAAAAAAGACAACAAACTTTCGGGCATATAATGCTCCGCCTAGCAGCGCTCTTGTTTTATACTTTCCTGTGTCCAAAACCTTCTCGGGGAGCATCACCCAGTTCAACAGGGTCTTGATTTTGTGTCGCCTCTACGGAGTAGTGGCGACATATAGGGATCACTTCTCCGTCGTCTGTCTCTCCGTCTGTCTGTCCGTCTGTCCGTCACAAAACTTGTCCGGACTACTCCTCATAAACCACTGGTGCAATTTCATCCAAACTTTACAGGAATGATCAGTACTAAGTCTTGTTGTGCATATTGTCAGCATTTTCCGGTTCAATGATTTTTGACAGAGTGATGGCCCTTTAATAATTTTTATTTTTAAAGTTTGTCCGGACTACTTCTCTTATACCGCTAATGCAATTTCAATGGAACTTTACAGGATTGATCTGTAGCTCAATTCCTTGCGCATATTGCACGGTTTTCCGGTTGAATGATTTTTGGCCGAGTTATGGCCCTTTGATAAAAAGGTGGGTTTTTTCTGTGTGTTGCCAGATACACAAAAGCTTGTCCGGACTAGTCCTCATAAACTACTGGTGCAATTTTATCCAAACTTTACAGGAATGATCAGTACCAAGTCTAGTTGTGCATATTGTCAGTATTTTCCGGTTCAATGATTTTTGTCAGAGTTATGGCCCTTTAATAATTATTATTTTTAAAGTTTGTCCGCACTACTACTCTTATACCACTAATGCAATTTCAATGAAACTTTACAGGATTGATCTGTAGCTCAAGTCCTTGCGCATATTGCACGGGTTTTTTGGTTGAATGATTTTTAGCCGAATTATGGCCCTTTGATAAAAAGGTGTTTTTTTTCTGTGTGTTGCCAGATACACAAAAGCTTGTCCGGACTAGTCCTCATAAACTACTGGTGCAATTTTATCCAAACTTTACAGGAATGATCAGTACCAAGTCTAGTTGTGCACTGTCTGTCTGTCTGTCCGTCTGTCACAAAACTTGTCCCAACATAAAATTGGCCATTATGAGGCGTCACATGTGATTACTGAACGCTCTTGTCTTTTATCACTGATTGCGGCATTGGTCAGGTATAAAAACAGATATGCTGATTACCTTACGCTACCACAGTAATAAAAGCATAGCGCCTGCTTTACTTTATCATAACATTTGCAAGTTGTAAAGTTACGACATGCTATGTTAATTTTAGTAACATAAGAAGTATATGGAGAGCTGTCCTACTCACCCCAGCTTCGGCGTCCGCATCCAGATTTCATATAAAGTTTTGGTGCAGTAAAATATTTTCACTAACTGTCATTTCTTAAGGTATCAACTTCAAACTTCAAATATATGTTCCTTATCATCACATCTTATGCGACAAGGTTCATAACTCTACCACCAATATTTCAGATTTATCTCCCCATGAACTTAGATTTTTTTAGTAGGAAAATGTTATTGTGCCCCCACTATAGGGGGGGGGGCATTTTCATTTGTCCGTCATTCCGTCCGTCCGTTCCTTTTTGTGTCGCATGTAGCTCAAAAGGTAATTGACCTAAAGTCATGAAACCTTACAGGAATGTTGATCAGCATGTGAATTTGTGCACCTGGGTATTTTCATGTGGATATATTTATAGTATTTTTAGAGTTATTGCCCTTGACTTAGTAAAAATTTCCAATTTTCAACTTGTCTTGCACGTAACTACAGAAGTTTATGACCTGTAGGCCTTAAAGTAAACAAGAATGTTGGTCAGCATGTGTATTTATGCACCTTGGGGTTTTCTTGTGGATTTATTTAGTATTTGCAGTATTTGCCCTTTACTTAATAAATGATTTTTAGTTTTCAACTTGGGCACATGTAGCCAAAAAAAAAATTTGACTTAGAGACAAATCGGTGGAGTGTGGGGACACATGTGTCCTATGGACACGTTTATAGTTTTTTTACTATAACTTTATTAGTTTTAAAGGTATCTACCTCAAACTTAAATACAAAAAAAAACAAAAACAAAAAACACTTTCGGGCATATAATGCTCCGCCTAGCGGTGCTCTTGTTAGTCGAGCTTAGCTGTCTCCTATGACAGCTCTTGTTTAAAGTGTCTCGGAAATCAGTTTTGAAATTATGGCATGTATGTGTGTGTGTGTGTTTTTTTTTTAGCTTTTAATAGCTACATCTATAAATTTGGACTGTACCAACTGTTGTTTCAGATGAGGATTTGCACTTTGATATCAGTTGACTTAGTTGTTTTTACTCATGGACATAATTTAGGAAAATTAGCATGAATCTGGAGGACTACTGCTTTCATATCATTTTCAATAATGTTAATTATTCATTCTTATAAAGCTATAATATTAAACATACAGCTGCCAGTGACTTATGTCTTTAATTTTTTATTTCCAGATTCTGAGGTTAAAGGGGAGTTTTGAGGACCACTATCTAGTGGTGAAGCGGTTACAGTTGAGTTAGACAGGGAGGTTATCCCCAAACCCCATGTGGAACGGATTGCTGTGAATCTTCATGGCCGGATGACGCAGAAGTTCTTGGATAAAAGCTACAATTGTGGAAAAGTTGCAGGTTGAATCCTGTTCTAGAGGTAACCAGGTGCCAGGGATGGCTGTTTAGGACAACAGAGACCAGAATCTTCTGGTAAGAGAACATTGGTACATGAGGCGACAGTGGCATCAGCTACGGAAATTTTCCTCGGTAAACACATTTTGTTTAAGTAATTTCTGCATCCGCTCCGAAACTTATCCTCGGTAAACACATTTCGTTTAACTTTTATCATTTGCTACGGAACTTATTCTCGGTAATCACATTTTGTTTAAGTAATTTCTCCGACCGCTCCGATACTTATCCTCGGTAAAACACATTTATTTAATTGATTTTGCAACCGCTACGGAAATTTTCCTCGGTAAATACATTTTGTTTAAGTTAATTTCTCCGACCCTCGGATACTTAGATGTCAAGATGTCCCCAAAGCCCCACGTGAAACTGATTGCTGTGTATCCTTCACAGTCCGGATGACTCAGAATAGATATTCCTGGAGAAAAAAGCAACAATTGTGGTATACTTGGAGGTTAAATGGTAACCAGGTGCTTAAGATGCTGTTTGAGATTCAATTCCTGTGGACAACAGGAGACCAGATGTCCCCAAACCCCATGTGGAACGGATTGCTGTGAATCTTCATGGCCGGATGACGCAGATGTTCTTGGATAAAAGCTACAATTGTGGGAAAAGTTGCAGGTTGAATCCCTGTTCTATGAGGTAACCAGGTGCCAGGGATGGCTGTTTAGGACAACAGAGACCAGAATCTTCTGGTAAGAGAACATTGGTACATGAGGCGACAGTGGCATCAGCTATGGAAATTTTCCTCGGTAAACACATTTTGTTTTAAGTAATTTCTGCATCCGCTCCAAACTTATCCTCGGTAAACACATTTCGTTTAACTTTTATCATTTGCTACGGAACTTATTCTCGGTAATCACATTTTGATTAAGTAATTTCTCCGGCCGCTCCGATACTAATATCCTCGGTAAAACACATTTATTTAATTGATTTTGCAACCGCTATGGAAATTTTTCCTCGGTAAATACATTTTGATAAGTAATTTCTCCGACCGCTCCGATACTTATCCTCGGTAAAACACAATTTATTTAATTGATTTTGCAACCGCTACGGTAATTTTCCTCTAAATACATTTTGTTTAAGTAATTTCTCCGACCGCTCCGATACTTATCCTCAGTAAAATACAATTTATTCAATTGATTTTTCAACCCCTACGGAAATTTTCCTTGGTAAATACAATTTGTTTAAGTAATTTGTCATCAGCTTTTGAATTTTTTCTTAGTAAACAAATTTAAAGTTTTTTGGCGTCTGCTTCTGAAAATTTTCTCGGAAAACACATTATTTTATTATATAAATTTTCAAAACTGCTGCATAAAATCTGTATTAGAGAACATTTTTGTAATAATAATTTACTCATCTGTTATAAAAATTTTGCTCAGAAAACAATTGATAGGGTAAGTTACTTATTATGAAATGAAATAAGTAGCCTGGGCTGGAAAGGAACATGGTAAAGGCAGTCATCAGTGCAGTATTTTTGATTGAGATTGATATAGTACTGACTGACTCATCATAGGTTTCTGCTCATTTATGGGTAAATGCTTGTTATAACTTGATGGAAAAAATGAGTAGAGAGGTTAACAGTCTGGTTATGATAAGTGTCTGTGCATGTTTGAATGGTAACCTGTGTTGACCAATCATTTCTATTTCACCTCAATCAGAATGAATGTACTGTTGATAATGTCTTCACGATGTGCTTGTCTGTACTGTATGGCCTTTTTCTGACTGTATAATACATTCATTTTTCATATTAGAGTCATTTGGGTGTTCAGTTTTTCAACAATTCCTCAGTAAACAAATTTTGTTTAAAGTAATTTCAGCATTTTGTAAAAATATTTTGTTAAAGTGATTTCTGCATTCTGTATTAAACATATTTCGGAAGTCATTTCGGCGTTCAGGCAGTTTTGAATTTTCCTTCATTATAAACAGATAATATTAAAGTAATATTTAAATAATTTTGATATTTAGTTTACACATTTTACTCGGTAAACAGATTTTGTTTAAGTAAATTCAACTCGGTAAAAAGTCTTTTGTCAAATAATTTACATGCTCAATTTTCGAAATTTTCAACAATAAGCATATTTTATTAAAGTAAACTCAACATTTGGTTCTGAAATCTTCCTAACTAAACATTTCTTAAAGTAATTTTGCATTTGATAGAGAATTTTTCCTCAGTAAATATCTTTTGTTAGACTAATTTTAATATTGGTTTACATATTTTCCTCAGGAAACATTTTTTTTAAAAGAAAGTTTGGTTTTCAAACTTTCCTTCATGAAAATCTTTTGTTAAAGAAATTTCTGCATCATTTTGTTAAAGTAATTTTTCATTTGCTACGGAAATTTTCCTTGGTAAACACATTTTGTTTAAGTAATTTCTGCATCCGCTCCGAAACTTATCCTCGGTAAACACATTTTGTTTAACTTTTATCATTTGCTACGGAACTTATTCTCGGTAATCACATTTTGTTTAAGTAATTTCTCCGACCGCTCCGATACTTATCCTCGGTAAAACACATTTATTTAATTGATTTTGCAACCGCTACGGAAATTTTCCTCGGTAAATACATTTTGTTTAAGTAATTTCTCACGGAAATTTTCCTCGGTAAACACATTTTGTTTAAGTAATTTCTGCATTCGCTCCAAAACTTATCCTCGGTAAACACATTTCGTTTAACTTTTATCATTTGCTACGGAACTTATTCTCGGTAATCACATTTTGTTTAAGTAATTTCTCCGACCGCTCCGATACTTATCCTCGGTAAAACACATTTATTTAATTGATTTTGCAACCGCTACGGAAATTTTCCTCGGTAAATACATTTTGTTTAAGTAATTTCTCCGACCCTCGGATACTTAGTTGTCAGATGTCCCCAAGCCTTCACAGTCGGATGACTCAGATAGATATTCCTGGAGAAAAAGCAACAATTGTGGTATACTTGGAGGTTAAATGGTAACCAGGTGCAAGGATGGCTGTTGAGATCAATTCCTGTGGACAACAGAGACCAGATGTCCCCAAACCCCATGTGGAACGGATTGCTGTGAATCTTCATGGCCGGATGACGCAGATGTTCTTGGATAAAAGCTACAATTGTGGAAAACTTGCAGGTTGAATCCTGTTCTAGAGGTAACCAGGTGCCAGGGATGGCTGTTTAGGACAACAGAGACCAGAATCTTCTGGTAAGAGAACATTGGTACATGAGGCGACAGTGGCATCAGCTACGGAAATTTTCCTCGGTAAACACATTTTGTTTAAGTAATTTCTGCATCCGCTCCGAAACTTATCCTCGGTAAACACATTTCGTTTAACTTTTATCATTTGCTACGGAACTTATTCTCGGTAATCACATTTTGTTTAAGTAATTTCTCCGACCGCTCCGATACTTATCCTCGGTAAAACACATTTATTTAATTGATTTTGCAACCGCTACGAAAATTTTCCTCGGTAAATACATTTTGTTTAAGTAATTTCTCCGACCCTCGGATACTTAGATGTCAGATGTCCCCAAGCCCCACGTGAAACTGATTGCTGTGTATCCTTCACAGTCGGATGACTCAGATAGATATTCCTGGAGAAAAAGCAACAATTGTGGTATACTTGGAGGTTAAATGGTAACCAGGTGCAAGGATGGCTGTTGAGATCAATTCCTGTGGACAACAGAGACCAGATGTCCCCAAACTCCATGTGGAACGGATTGCTGTGAATCTTCATGGCCGGATGACGCAGATGTTCTTGGATAAAAGCTACAATTGTGGAAAACTTGCAGGTTGAATCCTGTTCTAGAGGTAACAAGGTGCCAGGGATGGCTGTTTAGGACAACAGAGACCAGAATCTTCTGGTAAGAGAACATTGGTACATGAGGCGACAGTGGCATCAGCTACGGAAATTTTCCTCGGTAAACACATTTTGTTTAAGTAATTTCTGCATCCGCTCCGAAACTTATCCTCGGTAAACACATTTTGTTTAACTTTATCATTTGCTACGGAACTTATTCTCGGTAATCACATTTTGTTTAAGTAATTTCTCCGACCGCTCCGATACTTATCCTCGGTAAAACACATTTATTTAATTGATTTTGCAACCGCTACGGAAATTTTCCTCGGTAAATACATTTTGTTTAAGTAATTTCTCCGACCCTCGGATACTTAGATGTCAGATGTCCCCAAGCCCCACGTGAAACTGATTGCTGTGTATCCTTCACAGTCGGATGACTCAGATAGATATTCCTGGAGAAAAAGCGACAATTGTGGTATACTTGGAGGTTAAATGGTAACCAGGTGCAGGGATGGCTGTTGAGATCTTTGAACTTTGTCCGGGACATAGCTGTAAAACTAAAAGAGATATCAAGATGACTAATTGTTGGTTGATAGATCTCATTGAGTAGAAATGCAGTGCAAAAGAACCATAACTCTGTTAAGCCTCATTTTTGAATTATCTCCCCTTTTAGAAAAATCTTGTCCAGGATATAGCTCTAAAACTATAAGAGATATCAACATGAGACTTTGTAGGTAGATATCTCAATGGGTAGATGTGCATTGCACAAGAATCATAACTCTGCCTTTTCCTAATTCTGGAGTTATTGCCCTTTGTTTATTTTTACTTTTTGAAGTTGTCCGGGACATAACTTGGAAACCATCAGAGATATAAAAAAGAAACTTTGTAGGTTGATAGATTACATTGATTAGAAGTGCAGTGCAAAGAACAGTAACTCTGCCTTGCCTAATTTTGGAATTATTGCACTTTGAACTTTTTCCAGGGACCTAACTCTGAAACTACAAGAGGTGTACTTTCCTGTGTCCAAAACCTATTCGGGGAGCATCATGCACCCGGCTCAAACCGGGCTCTTGTGATTTTAGTAATTACTGCATTTGCTACGAAACTTATTCCTGGTTATCACATTTTGTTTAAGTTATTTCTGCTTTCGCTACGAAACTCATCCTTGGTTAACACATTTTGTTTCAGTAATTTCTGCGTCCACTATAGATTTCATCCTCGGTAAACACATTTGGTTTCAGTACTTTCTTAATTCACTATGGAACGTATTCTCAAAAAACACATTTTGTTTAAGTAATTTCTGCATTTGCTATGGAATTTATCATAGGTAAACACATTTTGTTTAAGAAATTTCTCTGTCTGCTCCGGAACACATTTTGTTTAAGTACTTCCTGCGTCCGCTATGGAAGTTATACATGGTAAAAACATTTTTGTGTAAGTACTTTCTGCCTACGCTAAGGAACTTACCCTCCGTTTTTGCGTCCGTGATGGAACTTATCACGGTAACCATTTTGTTTAAGTACTTATACTTAAGTATAAGGAGTAAGTAAAATAATGTCCAGAATCTTTAACATACAGAAGTCATAATACATGGTTATATTATTGGTCAAATGGTAATATGCAATTGGATGTCTAGAAAATGGGAATTTTTTCTAATTTGGGAGATGTTGAAGATCTGTTAGGGAAGAATAATGTGTCTAAATGGTATTTATGGAGGAAATGGAAAAACAACAGGTATTATTTATTTTCTTGGTTTTGTCTTGTTTCTTTACAGTAATTTAAAATATCTTTACTTATTTGTTAAATTAATTTTTTTTCTTAAAATGTTTCAAATTGGTAAATTAATTTTTAGGATGCATCCCACAACTGTTGATCGAGGCTCACTGGCGACCCCATTGAAGGATTCCGGTGCTGATATATCCGCAAAATGGGAATTCGTTTTGGAAGGATTTCTCTTGAGACACTGCGCCGGGAGTGTTGATAGATTATGGTTTTTTCAGAGTCAAGAAAGATGGAAAGGGGATTCTTTTTTTTTTTTCATTAGATCAACCGAGTGTCTGCCATCCAGAAGTTTTTTCCAGATTTATTTCCCTTTGTTTCTTTGGTAGAATAGCTGGAAGCTAGGCAAAACTTGCAGCTAGCAGGCGTTTTTCTTTAGGTATCATGCCCTGATATATCCCTGGTCTGTTAATCAAGACTACTATCGATGTAATCCGAGGAGTCTGGCAACTTTATATCCGCAAGGAGGAATCGTGTGGGAGTGATTGTCTTCAATTCTGAGTCCAGCAGCATTGTAGTATGACATTTGTTCCTGAGTTAAGAGAGATGGAAATCAGTGGGTCATAGTATGGAAGTGGCCTGAGAAGAACAACCTGCATGGACCGATACTGGATTATAGCTTTTCATTGAGCAGATATTTGTTTAGAAATATAATATAACCTGTCAATATCTTTAACTTGATTTTTGTTTTTGCTGCTTTGAAATTTTTGTTTCAGAATTAATACAACACTGGCGTACACAGTATGAAGACCTGAGTGTCAACCATTAAACAGTAATTGAAAGCAGCTTAATCAGTAATTATTGCAAAATCATTATTATTCATAGGGCACTAATTTATGTGGTTTTCATGGGTAGGTCAATCCATGGAGTTAAGATCCAACAAAATTTCATTTTATCTGCTGTAAAATTATTTTGCATCACATGATTTTTACACTTTACCTTTTTGAAAAATATTGTTAGCTGAATTCAAGTAACCACAAGAATGTTCTTTGAGACAAACCACGTAATTTCTACAAAAAAAAATCAGTGAATTCACATTAACAGTTGATACCAAAGAGACAAAAAAAATATTTTTTCATACATCTTATTTTTTTGCACCTGTTGACTCATTTAATTGACATTCTGTCAGATTAACTTACCAGTATTTTGTTTTTATTAGTTATTTTAATCCCTTTGTCACTGCTGGCTGCAACTGATTCTGTCATGTGCTGTCTTATCATGGTCTAAACTTATTTTCCCAAAATTTAAGTTTTTAGTTTTACTTAAGCCATTGCTAGGGACATTGATACTAGCTTTCATTTACCACTGCCTCCTAGTTGTTTAGGCTCAATCAAACTTAGGCTGTGGCATTTTCAACTTTGCCATTTTTAGCATTTTTCATGTTTCCATTCTTTTCTTTGACAGTGTAAATGAAATCAGAATCTTTGACTTAAAACATTGAAGCTTTCTGTCTACGTAAAACTCTTTGTTTTGAGAACAAAACATTACCAATAAATGAAAATTGATAGAAAAATATTTGAGTGCATTTTACTATTCTACAGTAATTTATTTATTTACAAGTAGTTTTGATCAGATGAGATAAATTATTTAAAAATCTAATGGTTTAATATTCTTATTGTATTTTGTTTTGTTTTAAGGGTTTGAGAGAGTTGGTATTTAAACTGTGTAAGCCTCAAATTACCAGCCTGTCTCGGAGGGTGTCGACAATACAACCTACATTAAAGACCAGAACCTTCATAAATCTTCATTTCTTTATTTTCTGATCAAGGGAAGGTAAATGTTTATATTTGTTTTCATTGGGACTTAATTGTGGCATAAATTGTGTTTTTGTGTTACATATCATAAGTCGTCCACCTTATATCTATAAAAATGTTTCAGATCTAACTTATAAGACAAAATAATGGACACACAGGCATCTATTTTGTTGTAAGTTATGAACAACCAAAAAGGTTTGTCATACACTGTAAGGATCCATTAGCCTATTTGTAAATTTTTTTAGTATTATATTAATCTGACGGAAAGTAGAAATTAGCAATTATTTAACCTCACCAGTTAGTCAGAAATGTTGATTTGGCAAAATTTTGGTCTCACCAAAATATGGTAGGAAATTTAAAAAGGATAATGTTGAAAATGTTCAGATACTGGTACAATATTATAGTTGTTGAGGGTACATGTGTAAATTAATCTGATATATTATACAAATAAGGCTTAACATATTTATTTTACATTGATTATGATGACCTTTATATTAAACCACACTCTTCAGCCAGCTTCCTGAAACTGTGCAGTACTCGGGTGTTATATGAATATGGTGACACAATGCAGTAGGATTTGAACCCATGATTACTTGGTTGTGAGGCAGACACCTTAACCATTAAGCTACTGTTCCCCTTACTTACTTAGAACTTCTTTAATAAATGCACTGACATTTTTGGTAAAATTCTGGAGTGATGTAACATTAAAATGTAAAAACAATTTCATTATAACGTCAATGAAATTTGTGTAGCAATTTTTTACGCCATGTCTAACTATAAGTCCTGTAACATAATGTAAAAACATTTCTGCTCAGATTTATATACAAACCTGTAATGGTGACTGATAATTTACTTATTTTAAAAATTTTATTTTTCAAGTTTCTTCTTTCTTATCACAGATACCTCTTGCACAGAAAGTACAGATCTTGCTGTAGTATGATTAATGGAGGTGCCTTTCACCAACAAAAGGTATATATTGAATTATTCATATTTAGATAATTTATATTTAAACTGTTTTTATTAGCTTGTCTGTTTTGAAGAAAAAGTTGAGCTATATTTGACCACTGTGGCATTAGCATTGTGCAAAATCTTAAATGAAGCCCATTATTCAAACATTTCACATGCATTATTGAGTTAGACAAGGGGCATAATTCTGAAGGCAATAATATTTTTGGAGTTATGCCCCTTTTTAACAGACCAGCTTTTTTTACTGGGCATTTGTTACTTTTTTTAAACATTCAAATTACATTCAAGTCAGTATTGGCAGTTTTTTGTAAATTGTTGGAATGTCTTCGTAAGAGTATTTATTATGTGATTAACTTTGTCATTCAAGCTGTTTGAAGCTAAGAAAAATAAACCAATATTATGAGTGTTTATTGATAAAACCAAAGTAAAATTGAACAACCTTTGTTTTTTACATTTATTTTAATTATTATGTTATCCTTGTAAAGTTGTTTTCATTAATTTAAAAATAGCACCATCTTAATGCTCCAATTGAATAGTCTTTCAGTTTTTAGCTTGACTATTGGTAGAATAGGAAGATCTATTGTACTCACCCAGGCATCGGTGTCACATTTTGGTTAAATTTTTGCATGCAAGTCCCATTACTCTAACATGGATTTTGACAGAATTATGGCCCTTTTTTACCTTAAGCAATTCTACATTATCCAGGTTCTTGTTTTACTATCATGCACTGAGAATAGTCAAGCTTTTACTGACGGCTCTTGTTAATTCATGCATTTTCTGTTATTTTTATTTATTTTCTGTTAATTTCATTATATGATAAAATCTATCATTTAAATCAAATGGAAAATGGAGACAAAAATAAATAGCTTAAAATCACAGGCTCAGATTTATGTTCTGATAATGTTAATAAATTATTTTCCTTCCAGGAAGTCGCATATTTAATATCTAGTGTGAATTTGACTGTTGTGTGGGGAGACAAAAATGAAAGGTGTGTATATTTTGATATTACATTTTATAACATTCTTAAGTGATTTAAATACATTGTTAGATAAGTAGAGATATACAGTACTGCCAAGTTGAATATAGTTTATTTTTGCAAATGAGACTTGATTTTTTGGTGTATTCACTGGTGCTAGATACTGTCGTCTCAAATAAGTAAGATGTTTCAGATGATGTCACTTTGGCATCTTTATAAAAAAAATTTAATGAGTTGCATGCATGTGAGGACATTATTATTCATGTACTATGAACAAAGTTGTAACAAGTACGCTAATATATGAAATTCATCATTCTATTTGAAAATTTATGTCTAATATGAAAAAAAAAGATCAAAAATGAAAATGAATCAAACACTGACTTTTGTCAAGGTAACTCACGGTTTAGCAGCAAGCGGACAGAGCCTTGTTACTGTTGTCATCAGTTCCATTTCTTATATTATTGTATTGCCTGACCAAAATTTGTACTCTCAAATTGTGATACTAAAATTATTATATATTTTTCTTACAGGAAGACTCAAGTTTCACACCTAGTGGATTAATAATTACAAATGTGAACAGACCATAATATTTGCCTTAATTGAATGCACCAATTATGACATTATAGTGTTCATTTATATTTGTTGAAAAATGGATAACAATACATGTGCTAGAGAGTGATATTCTTTTGTTCTGGTACAATGTGATTAATTGATAATGTTCAATAGTGTTATTTAGAAAGATAACTCTAAAAATATTATTTTGAAAATAAAGTACTTGTTACCTCCCACTCACACTCAGGTGCTCACTTTTTTGTCAAACTAATTAAAGGCTCTATTACAGTTATATGTCAGTGAAAAATGAACAAATTTATGTAAAGTATAACATTAATTGTTACTGTTATTGTAGATGAAAGACATTTATTAAATACAATTAATTAATTTTTTTAGATGAATTAATTATGTGCATTAATTTTTTTTAAACATTTTCTATTATAATTGTTGACAGTCATTTGGAAGTAACAAAAGTTAATTTCTTTTTAGCTCACCAGAGCACAACAATGCTCTGGTGAGCTATTGTCATAACTCATCGTCTGGTGTCTGTCCCTCCAAACTTCTTTTTGTACAACATCTGAACCACCAGGGAAATAATTTCAAAACTGCCTAGGAATGATCCTTAGGTGATCTCCTTTTAAAGTTGTTCATTCTATGCAGAACTCTTGTTGCCATGGAAACTGAAAAAACTCTTTAAAAAATCATCTCCTGAAACTATAAAGGCTAGATCTTGGATAATTGGCATGAAACATATTGTAGTGGGCATCTACCAAGCTTATCAAAATAATTGCCCTAGGGTCAAAATTGGCCCCGCCCAAATTGGGTCATAGGTTTTTCTTGCATGTAGATTCTTTAAAAAAATCATCTATGCCACAAAGGTTAAAACTAAGAAACTTGGCATCAGACATCCTGTAGTGGACCTCTACCAAGCTTGGCCACACTCAAGGAGGTCATTGGTTTTCTTTTTATCTATATAGTAAATTCCCTCTGAAGTCACAATGGCTACAGCTTAGATAATTAGCATGAATCATCATGAAGTGGACTGCGGCCAAGCTGGTTCAAATAATAGCCTTTGGGCCAAAATTGGCCCCGCTCAAGAGGATCATGGGTTTTCTATATAGTAAATTCCCGCTGAAGTCACAGTGGCTAGAGCTTAGATAATTGGCATGAATCATCATGAAAAGGACCTCTACCAAGCTTTTTCAAATAATACCCACCCTTGGTTCAAAATTTTCTCCATGGTTTTACCTTATAAAGGAAAAGCTTTGAAAATCATCTCCTCTTAAAATATAAAGGCAAGACTCTTAAAATATTTGGCAAAACAAAGGAATGTTCAGGTAACTGAATCTTGTCCTAAATATAGTCCATATCCCCTGGTGAGCGATTAAGGGCCATCACAGCCCTCTTGTTATTTTTTGAATTATTGATTAAATTGTATTTGTTAGCTAAATTGTATTTAGAATAGAGGGGCTTTCCTCCTTACCCAAGCATCAGTACAACTCTGGTTAAAATTTTATGTGCAACTTTTTGTATAACCAACAGCCCAGAATTATTGCATGCATTTTGACTGAATTATGGCCCTTCATGTGTTTTAATCTTCCTTATAATTTATAATTTTCACATCTATATGGTCATAAATAAAGGTCACTGACCAAATTCCATAACTACAGTAGGATACTGATTTCCCTGTATGTACTTTAAGTATTCCTTGTAAAGAGATAATTTTTCACAACTATTGCAGGTATATACATATGTATTCACTAGAAACGGGGTTATTATATATAAAATTCTGTAGCTGTCCAAGAACCATAACTGTTGCATGATGTAAGCTTTTGTGAGCTTCAAATTAATTCCCAATTTAGGTTTTGTAAGATATGAATAAAAATATTGTATTTTCACACAATTTATTTTTGGTGATCATGATCACAGTAAATCTTGTAGCTTCTTATAATTTCTTTGTGTTTTTTCTGTATACTGTATTTGTTTTTTTTACGGCCAGAGGCCGTAAAATTTACAGGGAAGAACTGAATATATGTAAAAATTTCATTGGTCATTTTAAAATTACAATCTGAAATCGCGGAATCTGATTGGTCATTGTAAAATTAGTACAATAACATAAAGGATTTTTCTGACATGTTATACGCATCTAATTTTTTAATTAATCTTAATGAGTTCTGGATACGATCTATCTCATTCATGAGTTTTAGATTTCAGACACTTAAGTTTTGTTTAACCATGCCTTCTCATACTAGTGATAAGTTTTTATAACCATACATCCTCCTACAGATTATTTTACGCTGCTTTAATGAGTTATAAATTTTGTCAAAAATTAACGATCGAAACTACCTCTAACAATTACGTCAAATCATGCGCAAGAAAATAGCGAAAAGCACACAACAAAATTTAATGAACTTATCCGGTATTATCAGTTATGTATGTGACATTGATACAATTCATGTTTTTTTAAATATTAATTCATGACAAGTATATATATACCTGAATAGTTTTTTTTGTTATAAATGTTAAAGTATTTTTAGATTAAAAAGCTTAATTTCGGTTCCTTAAATTTTTTCAGATTTTAGCTTTCTTTCGTTATTTCCAAAGGTGTTGCAAGTCCGTTGATTTGTATATTTCGTATCAACAAAACGTTGTCATTTTTAAATTTTCTATTAAAATTTCAATTTGAATTACATTACTTAAACGATTTTTCTTTGAGTTAAAATGACATTCAAAAAAATACAAATAAAGGAATCAATCACATAGCTATAAAAATGAACTAAAACAAAAAAATGGAATACGAAATAAATTTTGTTTGTGGTTCTTATTTACTTGATTTTATAGGATTTACTTCAGACTTAACATTTTGTTTCTATTTGAAATACTTCGACTGTGTCATATTATGCGCAGGATTTTAATATTTTTATAAAATGAAGAATGTGATGATTAAAAAAAATATTTTTTTATTTTTTACTTCATTTTCCCGAAAGTTTAGCTCAGATGTTTGTTATCATTTTTTTTTCTTTTCTTTTTTTTTTCTTTTTTGGTAATGTTTTTTGTAATTATTTTTTGAATATTTATATAAAGTGTTGATTGAAAAACTTCCTTGTTTGTGTTTTATTCTACCATTTGTTGACAACTGTTGTCCTTAGACACTCCTTATTAACCTATTAATGTATCTCTAAATAAGTCACTGTTTCTAAACAAACCATTGAAGAATAAATTTCTACATGACAAGCTAGATATTCTATCACTTAAAGACATTATTTAAAATTTAACTCCCTATGCAGACCGCCTCAGTGGTTGAGGGGTTATAGTCGATGACTTCAAATCCAGCTACCTCTCTGGCGTGGGTTCGATCCCCGGGAAATGTTTTGTTAGTTTAGCGCGGAGGAAGGTAGTCTAGTACTGGTGTAACTCTCCAGGAACGATGGTTAGGAAACTACCCGCCTATATGACTGAAATACTGTTGGAAAAAGGCGTAAAATGAAACAAACAAACCCTATGTCGACTGTCACCTCATAATTAAAGGGATACTCGGGCAAATTTATGATAAAAATTTTAAAATGATCTTTTGTACTCAAATCACGTTAAAATGACATTTTTTTTTAAAAGTCCCAGCATGAATTTCTGTATATATTCTTAATATCACAGATTAGGTTAAAAACAAGTTGTGTGATTTGAACAAACCCTGGAAGTTACAATAACAGATATTGTGGATATTGTATGATTGAAACAAGTCAAGTCATTAATTTCAGATGTTCTTTAATGTTTCCAGAATTCATATTGTGAAATCTTAATGCTCTAACCTGACCCATGTGGGTCATGTTAGGAAATCACCATTTTATTTTTTATAAGGAGAAAAGTTTTATTCCTGTGACTGCCTAGTGTATTTATTTTGAAGTAATGAATTAAAATTTCAAAACAATTTGAGAAATGAAAATTTTGCCTGCGTCTCCCTTTATTATTGAAAATGTCATAAATTCTATAAGAACATATTTGAAAATCAGTGCTGTGTGACCAGGCTGTATACTGTTGGCTGACCTGCAAGTTATTCCCAAAATTGTTGATGGAATTTGCTGGAAATGTGCATTAGAGAATTTCAGCATTTATTGATGAGATATTGCAAAATTATATGAAAGTAAAAAGAAAATACCTGGGCAAATTTGTTAAAACACTTCAGTCTAACACAATGACAAAAAGTAATATAAAAGCAGTTTTCAACAAAAGATGAGCTTAATAAATGATGAATGCACGTGAATAATGAAATAATATAAAAAGAAGACTTAAAGATACACTATGCTCAAAATAAAATATTAATAATTGCTTATACAGTCAAAGTAAATATAAAATAAACCTGTTTTGACTTCACACAAAGTAGATATGTTATGTTTAAAATTCTATACAGGCTATAGGTGGTCACAATATGAATATATAGCGTCATTAAAAAAACTGGCAGTTTTTTAAAGAAAGGATCAACTTTACATGTCCCGCAATAGGAAATGCAGCTTCCCATACATAGTTTATTCATTCTTTTATTCAAATTAGACAATTATCCAATAAGAATTTCATAAATTTCTGTAACAAAAATATTTTACTCTATTTATGCAGATGGGTTTCAAATTCTTACAGCGGGTTATGGACTAGTTCTTTAATGAAACAAATAAGAAGATTGCCATTTCTTTCCAAATTTTGTGTTATATGCCCCCTAAACCTGCCTGTGTTTCTGGTAATATGGGCGAGATCATGACTAGCTGGCACATGTCTGTGGAAAATTGTAGGAAAATTTTGGGCTTGTTTTTCAACTAGATACATTAGCACATATCTCATGTAAATTACTTAAGTTGTAGATCTCTAAATGTCTGATGATATAATAAACGCTTAATTTCTTAAATCAACATGTTCAGCTTCCAGTAAGGAATTGTCCATTATCACTTTTAGGGATATAAAGCTGAGAAACCTGTCTGGAGTTTGAAATCATGTGAATATTATTGTATTAAGGAGGTTAATCTGCCTTGCATACAGTATGTAGCATCAGTTATGGAGTAGCCTCCTCCCCCTACCCTTTAAAGCTAAAAATGGTCTCTTGTAATTTGTGTGTTTTATGTGTAAATAGGTGGGGGGTGGGGGATTGTCAGTCTGCCAGTCTGCCCAAGTAGTTAAGTTTGTTGATTTAAAGCCACTAATGCCCCTCACTTCTGTAGGTTTGGATTTCTTATGTGAGGAAGCTATCCAACTAGCTTACGTCTGTGGTTCTACTCGGAGTGCCCAATTGTGCTTGAAATAATGCAAGGAAGGGCACCTTAGGTCTTCTCCACCAGTAAAGCTGAAAAGTCACCATATTACCTATATTGTGTTGGTGCAACATTTAAACCCCTTCACCCCCCCCCACCCCCAACAAAAAAATGAACTGGTTAGTTCCATGAAGCAGACTTGAGTGATTAATTTAAGTTCCATTAGAATTTATTTTGCAATCCAGCTAAAATAAAATAAATAACTATAAAATAAAATGTGAAAATTTTTATACACTTGAAACAAATTTCTGTACGGCTCTTAAATTTGAGTTTTTGCTATTAATTTTTGTTATTGTTGACGGAAAATTATTAAACCAGGTTTCCCATCAATGTGAAAAAGGGCCATAAATCTGCCCAAAATAAACAAAATCCTGACATAATGCTCCCAGGCACTTGATGAAAATCGATAAGAATGAAGTAGATGTGTAATAAAGTATTCCTTACAAGTACTTCTCTGAAAACTTAACATAAGCATATAAAGTTTACTGTTTTGCCATCATGTACATAATGTTCTACAACTGAATTAAAGTGACATAATGCTCATTTTTTCATTGTCAAGGTCAGCTGAATTTACTACATATTTCTAAAAAATATTGTTATTTTGGTGATTGACAAACAGTTAATATTGAAAAATGTTTTGGATTAAGTATAAATTTGCCTATTAAATATAAAAAAGACTGTCCACTTTTAATAAATTGAACAAAACAGGTAAATTCTGATGGACATTTATAGAAATATTCTTAGGGCCATGTGTTATTTATTTTTAGTGTTATTAAAATAAATTATAAAATTGAAAGGTCTTTTATTATGGCAAAACATAAACTTAATTTGACTTCTATCTAAAAATTTCAATCACTATTTTACCTTTGATGGGCATTAAATGTCATTTTAAGACTAAAATGAAACTATAGTAATACAAAAAATATAACATTGAGCAAGTAGCTTTAAAACCATATTGGTCATGCTTTTCAACCTTAACATAATATTTACTGTCATGGTTTGACAGGAGAAAGCAAGATATGAAAGTACTTAATGATGATTGGTTTGGTACTGACCTATACAATAATTTGATGAACACTTTTATATAAGGATTTAATACAAAATGATTATGATAGCATCTTTAACTTGATTTCACTGGAGCTTTTAACCTTTAAAGTGGGGTGGTCTATAAATAAGGGCTTAATTTCAATAAATTTAAATTTTGATGGCATTTTAGTATAAGACATAACAAAAACCTTTAAAAAATATGTATGAATTTGTTGGCCAAAAACCATATTTTAATAGGGAAAGGGTAAAAAGTTCTAGAACAAAATATTATTATACATCATATAAAATTAATAAAATTAATGTCAAACTAAATCACTTAGAACTTTATCAACATTTTTTTTCAAGCAATTTTTATAAGAATATTCAAATGAGAAATTTTTATTGTTTCTATTTTTGAAACAAAATAATTAAAAAATGGAGGTAATAATTGTTTCAGTCAGGTCAGAGTTGCCTTTGCCATCCACAAAGTTTAACCTTGATCATAACTTTAATTGTCTTCATACTTGGCCATAACAACCCTTGGGACAAAACACATGTAGACCAGACTAACCTTGACCTTCATTCATGAAGGATCTTGACCTTCTAGGTTAAATGCCTTAAATTTTACTTGTGGCTATAGCTTTGTTATTTTTAAATGGATTGTCTTCAAACTTGAACATAATAATCTTTTAGGGTAGACCTTCAAGTTCAGACCTTCAGACAGACCTTGACCTCCAATCATAAATGACCATGAAAATTATTGAAATTTTCCATTTTTTTTGCTGTAAGTGGCTTAATTATAATAACTTTGTGCGTAGGACAACTGCTTCAACACCATTCTCTTGTTTTGTTTCAGACTACCAGTGCAGATAAATCTGAAATGAAAATGTTGACCCACAAATTTGTTTCCCTTAAAATGTTTTTATTATCATATTTTAACAACATGCCAAGTCTTAAGAAATTCTATTGAAGAGTTTTAGTTTTGCATTTTTGTCTATTATGAAAACTCCTGAAATTTCGAAATTTGTCCTTAATTTTTTTTGTGATAAAAAAGAATCTAAATGCAGTCACTATGAGTTTTAAATTGAATTTTTAAATGACTTAGCTTATAACGAAATTTAGAAATAGGATTTCTTGCGGACTACATGTATGTCAGTTATTAATATAATACTAAACTTTTTGATAAGAAGCCCGCATAATATTGTTTTATTCAATGAGTTCAATAAATTTAGTATTGAAACTATACGAAGATAATATTCTAGTTATATGAAATAAGAACGGCAAATTGTTTTATCAAGGGAAATAAATAAGATAAATACTAAATTGTAAAGGAGTAGCGTCCCTTTGTATAAAATCGTCTGCTTCAGATCTGTGACTATGTCAAATCTAGAGCATGGTTTAATTGCCTTAGAAAGCCCATAACTTAATAACGATGGATTAATTGCCGTAAAAAGCCTATAACTTTATAATAACATAGATCTACATGTAAAATAGCTCCAGATTTAATTTCAACTTACTGTGCTACATGTATCTATGTCTAGATCTAAAAGTTTGATTAAAAACAATGTTTCCTGGCCAATTTTGTGAGAAAATGTTTATTTGCAATCTTAAATCTTAAGAATTACAAATGTCTTGTAAACAGAATTCGAATAGATTGATGCACGTGAATTGTGC